AGTATGGGCAGGTCAGGCATCCACCACTGTCCAGTCCAGTCCAGTCTTTACAAGACGTATAATGACCTTTGCCAATCGAGTGGCCAGATTATTATGTATCGAGTTCTTCTGCTAAAAAGAAAAGGAAAGACATCTCATCTCACCTGCTCGGAGGGAGACGTTAAGGTACGTGAGCGTTCAGCAGGTGCCATAATTGGAGAGCTAAATCACTTCTCAACCCAGAAACTATTTCGTTCCACCTTCAATCAAAGACCAGCTTGAAAGTTTGAACCGACAGTAGTTATATTAGCTCTTTTGACAGTCAGTGTCATTGTCTTAGTTTCAGCTGTGGTAAGTGTTAGAACCATTTGAAAGGTCACTCCATTTTCTTTTTGGTCAGGTTTAAGCACTGAAGTCCTTTGGCTTTTGTACAAATTTAACTGTCACTGTCCATGACACTTTCTCGGTTATATTTTTGTCTTCTATAGCGTGAAATAAGCTTATGTGTTGAAATTTGCATATTATTTGGATATGTCTAGATTTGAAATTGGAAATCAGTGTCGTAAATGTAGTAAGCATGCCACTGAGGGTATACAGTGCGACCGATGTCATCGCCGGTACCATTAAGATTGTACAAAGTTATCCAGCAAGACCGGCTAACTATCTCCAGAAAACCCTCAATTTACCTGAAACAAAGAAAGATCAACGGACAGAGAAACTTCTATGTAAAACGCCGAAAAAGAAAACGTAAGAGACGACGAAGCTGAAAGATATAGGCTTACGGTTTGAGCTCCTAGAAAAGGAGCTGGCTGTCATGAAGCAGTCAGTCTATTCTAGGTCGGGAGAAGAACTTGTTGCTCCATAACTGCGCTGAGTCCACTATCAGAGATGGCAGATCTCACTGTGAGATGGACCGCAGGCATGTTCAGGATGTTCTTTGCCTGGCGGAAATGCCCCCCGCAACGAGCACTGTGAGGTGGCACAGGGTGGGACTGTGGAAGAGAGAAAAGACACTTAACCCACATCCCCTACTGGTAACAATCGGCA